CTTCAGAAATGAAACCTCGGCTGAACTGCGGAAGAGCCACCTCCAATCTCACTTCCTTTACAATAGAGAGAGCTTATTTGTGCCTTTCCCTATGGGTGACTTGTTTGATGAACTATAGCGATTCTGCGTTCGGCCCGTTTCTTTAAATTCCTGAATGGCAGAGCCTCGGCCACGGCTGCATGAGAAGCTTCACAATGGTTATGCAGATCAACGGGGAAACTCAATCTGAAGCGGCCGCCACCATGCCGATATGGATTTTCAGTCTATCAGCGTGGAGACATGGTCAATCAGACAGGAAATTCAGTTGATTCAGTTGGTTTGATCAGAGTCTTGCGCATTGTAAGCGGATTTACAGTCAAAGAACCAGATAAGATGAATGAAGACCCGGGGTCAAGAGTTTAGTCAATTGAAGGATAGTTTGTAGTTTCATCAGGCAGTTGTCAGCTTCAAGACTCACATGGAGTTTGTAGGCCATCCCGCTAACAGTTACAAAGATCACAGCAATTATACCCTTCACCAAGGTCTAAGCTATATCATTACTTCTGGTTGAATGATTCTGATTGGCTAAGAAATAGATAAACATAGTAATTTTCCACACATGGACTGATGCACATCTCCATAGTCTGTACTGCTGCCACCAGGACCCTGAGTTGGGTACCAGTGGTTTCAACAATCATATGCATTTGATTTACACTTGTGCAGTTTCGTCTGGAATCTCCTCCTGAAGAAGTGGTTTGAGCGATCGGATTTAAATCGTCTCGAATGGCATTTAGGTATACCTGTTTTTTTCACGATCAGATAGCTATCAGATCACAAAACACGCATGAAGTGGACAGGTGTAACATCTCTTCAATGAAAGGTATTTAGGAGATTATCCTCACTTATTTCCCCCCGGCCTTAATCTGAGACCGCGTTGTTCGCGTTGATCAAGCACTCGGCCACTATCAGAGGCCCGGCGTTTCTTTGAATACCGGTTTTTATTTGAGGAATTACGGTAGTCATGCATGTAGTAAAAGAATGCATATGTGTGCAGGCACATTTCTTTAAAGCTACACTGTGTAACTCTTTTAGTTTATTCTTAGCTAAAAACACTTAGTTCTTTCAAAAATATATGTGCTCATTAATGTATATTTACTTTCGTAATAAAGTAATAAAGTTTTTTTTTAGTAATAAAGTATTCTCGTGAGTGTATATAATATGCCATTGAAAATACATACGGGTAAGCGGTTCTAATGTCGGTCGCCATGTTGCCCCTCCATCTTGAAAGTACATTAGCCAAAGAGGGACATACCCGTTAATTCAAGCTTCACCTTTCGCGTTTACGTTTGAGTTAACACTCATGAACGAGGTCGAACTGGAAGCTAGGGCTGAACGATTTTGGAAAATCATCTAATTGCGATTTTTTTAGCCAATATTGCGATTGCGATTTAATATGCGATTTAAAAAAAAAAGTTATTTACCTTCTGTATTAGTCGACAAAGACAAGCAATAAATCATTGTACAGTATGGATGGGAATCTTTAGATAGCTCATGATTCGATCTACTTTTTTTCTTATTAATTAATCTTAATAACTCTTAATTTAATTACATGTGTAAAAACACATACTTTAAAAAATAAATATAAAAAAAAACATTTAATTAAAGCAATTACATGTTAAGAATTTTAAATAGGCTATATAACATAATATAGCTTCAAAATATAAAAGCTAGTAAATAAAGAGAAACAAAAAAAAACATTACAAGCAATAAAGAAAGAGTGGTCACTGTATTTAAAAGTAGGCTGTCTGAATGTTTTTCATTCGAGAGTTGGAGTGATTTCCCCTCAGTTTAGATATGATAAGCTGCATTCACACTAATGCATATATCTCTTTTGAAATTGTAAATGTGGTTTGTCCTGTTGGTTTAAGATATAGACCATTTCACAAGATATAAACAACACTGGTCCAGGAGCACTTCCTGTTTCAGTTTGTAACTGTTTTCTTTATTTCACATGTAAATAAAACATCTTAAAGATGTTTGTTTAACTTTTTGATTCAGTTTTATATGTTCTGTTGGTTGTATTTTATCCCGGCTTTTATGTAGTGTTAAAAAAACTGAAACAAGTGCTTCTGGACCAGTGTTGTTTACATCTTGTGAAATGGTCTATAACTGACCGTGTTTACATTAATTTCGCCGCGTCATAAAAGCATTTTGACATGCAAGTACATTTACCAATGAGTCACTCACAGCCGCATGCACGAGCGCTCTTCACAAGCACGCGTTATTATTTTAAAATGAAAGCAGCCTTCTCAGTGATTTTCATGGTTTTAATATATAAGCCAACTGCATTCCAAAAGACATAAATAATGCCTCTGTGAACTGAAGCATTTGTAAATAAAATTCCCGCGGGAGAGAACGCGCACTGCAAGTGTAATGTTATAACATCAAGCAAAGCGGCAAAACCTGTTCAATGAAGCCCGCGAATGTCCTTGTAATTCGGTTCAATCCCGAACTTTATGAAATAACGTTACTATGTTTTGGAAGGTTCGAGCGGTGTCGTGTGTGTGAGTGAGGAAGAGAGAGAGCGAGAAAATAGAAGCAAGCAGATTCAGAACGCGGTTCGTTTCTAAAGCACGCGCAGCGTCATCATCACGCATCTGTGTTTAAAAACTATAAGCTCATACTCGATTCTGAAATTCTCTGAATCGATCCAGGATTGTTGAGGAGAGGAGAGAATAAATAACACAATTAACTGTTCTTTTCTGAAAGCCAGACCGCGTAGCGTGGCAAGTTGATGCTTTATCTTGCAGACTGCTTTTCTCTCGCGTGTCACGTGACCAGTATAATCGCAGCCCTTGCGATTACAAAATCGCGTTTCATCATATCGCGATTTTATCGCAAATGCAATAAATCGTTCAGCCCTACTGGAAGCCATGTTAATCTTGGACTTCATTGGCCACCGTAGGATTTAAAAATAAATCGGAATTGAGAGGAACAGAAACTAATATTCCCTGGATGGTCATATACCTTTTCACCGCTAGATGGGGTAAAAATCACACAGTGTACAGTAGCTTTAAAAAGTGACATCACCAACTACTGGCCTGGCAAGCATGATGCAGCGTTTTTAGTCATTTTTGATGATGATTTTTTTTTTGTGCATTGTTGTCGTGTAAACGTACCCCTAATTTACTTAAGCACCTCAAACAAAACTCTCAAAACTGAAGGAATTTCTTTTAGTGATCCAACTAACCTCGCATACGTTGGCAAATCCAGCTATTTGTGCCAGGACCATATCAACCTGTAGCTCAAGACTGGTTGCCCACTGAAGCTAAGCAGGGCTGAGCCTGGTCAAAGTCCTTTTAGGCAAGTCGTGCCACTCGGCCGCCATCTTGGCAATGCCTCCGGGCAGCTATTTCGGACTAACAAGACCAGGCTCCTATCTAAATGAATGGGCAGAGAGTCAGAACAGCACTTTCACTGGTCACTGGGACATAAAAACTGCATGTATAGAAACAGCAGTAAAATATGATAAAAAATTGCTGAAAATGTTTGATGACTTGGCTCCAAAATAAGGTTTAAAATGCCGTTTTCCCACAGGTTATACTTTTCCTACGCATGCGCAAGGGTTCTCTCGCTACACAGTTTGAGACACAGTATGTGCGAGCTCTTGCTCCCTCGCTCTAGATTCCGGGAGATTTTAAATAATTTGCAGGCATCAGCGAGCCGCTATCAGTCTGCGGGAGACACCCGGAACTTCTGGGAGACTAGGGATGTCTGATATTTACACAACGCAAACATACAATGCATATCAAATCTGCCACCTTTTCAAACAGTAACATATTTTTCCGCTGTCGCAAACCTCAACTGTGCGCATGCGTCGATGGAACCAGACGATAGGCTTAAATGTAACCAAAAGCAGACGATTGGCTGTCCAGCGGGAGGGGCGGGACATGTGCATACAACCACATCTTTGGTGTTACGGGTTTTCCCTATAAATTTGTATTAAGGATTGAGGAAGTGGCATGTCTCTATATAAATAGTCTCTGGCCTGGTTAGTACCTGGATGGGAGACCTCCTGAGAAAACCAGATTGCTGCTGGAAGAAGTGCTAGTGAGGCCAGTGGTGTTCACCCTGTGGTCTGTGTGGGTCCTAATGCCCCAGTATAGTAATAGGGACACTATACTGTCAAAGAGCACCATCCTTCGGATGAGGCGTTAAACCAAGGATGGTTTAACATCCCAGGATGTCTTTCAAAAGAGTCGGGGTGTAACCCCGGCATCCTGGCCAAATTTGCCCAGTGGCCTCTATCCATCATGGCCTCCTAATCATACCCATATATATATATATATATATATATATATATATATAATGCAAGCTCCTTAAAAAGAGCTTCCATCAACCTGGTAAACCAGCCCATTCTCACTCCCAAGGCGTCACCTAACTGACGCCTTGGGAAGCATTTGGACATGCTTCAATATCTGACGCTTTAGGCGCCCTTTAGCGTCAGTTAGATGACGCCCTAGGATCGCGTGTACCCTACCCCCACCCCACACCTAAACCTAACCGCATCCTCTAACTGACGCTTTCCTTTAGCGTCAGTTAGATGACGCCGTAGGATCGCGTCATGTAAGTGACGCTAAAGGGCGCCTAAAACGTCAAATTTTGAAGCATGGTCAAAGGTGACGCCTTGGGGTGAGAATGCGTTGGGTAAACACCTTGATTTCAATGGATTTATATGGACTGCCATTTGGATTCAAATAAAGTTTTTAAATCAGTTGATGCATTTATTGGGAGTTGAACCCTTGGCTTGACATTAGAGTTGCTACTGCCATGCTCTACTGTTTGAGCGACAGGAAGTTGTAACGAGTCAGCCAATCAGATTAGAGCTTGCCAAATTGAGAATGTACCCTCCATTTTTGTAGACAATATGCATCAGTCATCATCAAATGGACTGTGGGCATCTGTAGGTGCGAACCCGAGACTAATATGATCATGAATTGACTGTGTGTGTCTCATTTCAGGGGTGAAAGCTGTGTTCTCTGGTCACTACCACAGAAATGCAGGAGGATGCCATGACGGGCTGGATATGGTGGTGAGCTCAGCGGTGGGTTGTCAGTTGGGGAATGACACTCACGGTGTGCGAGTGGTGGTAGTTACTGAAGATGATATCATCCATCGCTACCATAGCCTGGATCAATTAACCAAAAGAGGAATGGATGAAGACCTGAAGAAATTGTTGGGTTGAAACCACCTCCAGGTAAATAATTATGCAGTCATGTATTTATCTTCAACATTCATTATAGAAACTTAGAGATTTCAGGGTTTTTTCAGTTGTTTTTTTTTTCTGTATACATCAGCAATACGTTAGCCACTTTTGATCTTTGATACTCACATCATCTGTCTCCACACTTTAATCATGCAAATGCGTCTGAGAATTCAGTTTAATCACCTCATCTTACTAATGGAGTGAGGAAATGCTAGGGTACAATGGTAGTTTAATAGTGCTGAACATTTTGGATGACAGTTTGATGAGTTCCCTCTTTGCTCCTCTCTGCTCATTACTCTGTTCCATCTCTGAGAGGAGGGAAGAGGGGATCTCCATGGTAACTATTGAAAGACATGGCTGCGGTGACCGGGACATCGAGTCACTTGTACTGTGGGTGGATCACCGAAAACATAATTGCTGACCTCACCTCACACTTGGACGAGAGCAACCGAGTGTGACTGAACAACTTAAACGGCAGACGTACAGCAATAAAGACATTTTAAATGACCAATCTCTGATTTCAATCTGAAAAAAAATCAGACCTCAAGTCTTCCTCGCAGTGTCATTTATGCGACTGGATGTTTTCCAGCTTTCTCTGGATCTTTCCGTCTAATATTTATATGTTATGTCTAATGCTACGACCATACAGGGGGGTTCAAAAGTTTAAAGTTTTCATGATAAATTATGTAAAAGACATTCAGTTGAACTGAAAACTGAACATGATTATCAGAATGATTTAGTATTTTATTTGTGCTCCTTTTGCTTTAATAGCAGACACTTGAGTTTCATGAACATTTGCCTCACTGTACAAAGGTGTTCACTTGATCAATTTATGGTTAAACTAGCCTACAATAAGGTATAATTTGTTAACTAACATTTTTATTGCATTTATTAACCTTTGTTAATGTTAGTTGATAAAAGTACATTATTCATTATGTTCGTTTAGAGTACATAAACTAATGTCGATGGACACTATGATTTATTGTAGTAGTAAATGTTAAAATTAACATTAAGATATTAATATATGTTGGACTATTGTTTGTTCGTTAGTAACTAATGTTAACAGATGAAACCTTATTGTAAAATATTCAGTTTATGGTATGTTTCTTTGTTTAAATTCTATAATTGACGTGTTTAATAGAATTAGATTTTAAATTCTGTACATGGTTATATTTTTGTACTGTACTTAAAATAAAAAGAAATATTAATAAAAAAAAATGTAATGCTTTGACTGTTGTCTCTATTTTCACAAATGAGCTTTTGTTTTTAAAGGGTTAGTTCACTCAAAAATGAAAATTAAGTCATTAATTACTCATCCCCATGCTGTACCAACCTTTTAAGACCTTCGTTCGTCTTCGGAACACAAATGAAGATATTTTTTATTATATTTGAGAGGTCACTGCTACATAGGCTGCCTAAGGGATTGAAACTTGACGGCCCAGAAATTCAATGAAGAAAATTTTTAAATATTCCATGTGACAACAGTGGCTCAACTATGAGTTTATCAAGCGACGAGAATACTTGTGTGAAAAAACAAAAAAAAAAACGACTTTATTCGACTATTCCTTTTCTTCCGTCTGGGCCTGAGACGAAAGTTCAAGAGATTTCCACGACGCATGCGCGAGAACTGAACAAGAAGTAGTAGAACAATAATGTAGTTATCGCGCATGCGTCGTGGAAATCTCTTAAACTCTCGTAATTGATAATTAATTAATAACTAATTCATTAATTACTAATTAATTACTTAATTTTCATTTTTGGGTGAACTAACCCTTTAAAAGGTTCATGATTTGAATATAGGGCCCCAGGAACTACAATTCACACAAATATGCCTGAAATAAATACTTGTCTTGGCAACAACAGGGTCGCGCAGATTATGATATAACTTAATTAAATGTTTTTGTATTTACTTTCCTTTCTAATTTAAAATCCTATAGGCCTATAGATACATTCATCACCACAAACCATTCATAAATACTCTAGTTTGTATAATAATAACAACAATATTTAAGAATACTCAATGCATACGTAAACTCAGACCCGTTGATGTATCGATGTTCCCTTATTCCCTACGCCGTTTGCAGTGCCCTTCGAACTGAACATGTTCGTTCCCTTCGGATTGGAATCTCACTTAAGATGGCGAAATACCCTGTGAAGTCCACTTCGCAGTCCACCTACGGTCGAATGGAACGCACCTTTAGTCTGGCTCTTTCAAGCCCATTTCCAATCAAGCGATCTCATTGGAACTCCATTGAGACAAGTGAAGCCCGTTTTTGGCGATTCTTTTTTTTTTTTTTAGCACTTCCGTTCCTGACGCGCAAACTCAAACTGACTCAAACAGAGCTTGACGACGTAGATGTGACGTGAGCAACCCATCTGTCTACTAGTGGCTGTGGCATGATAAATCTGAATCATTCCCTTCTGAAACTCGCAGAGGCGGAGATTGTGAGTAGGAGCGGTCCATGAGCTACGAGCAGGAGAAACTTTTGCTAGGTATTCTGATTAATTATTTTGTCATTTTGCCTCCACGTTTCCCCGATTGCCTGCGAGCTTCTCCTCCTGTCCATACGGTAATCTCTCTACTGTGCGACAGAGAGTCGCGTGGTTATGACTCAATCGTTAGCCTACTTTTACAAAAAAAACTGCTTCTACGGGGCCATAACATAAGCTACAAAGTAATGGAGCATTTTATACATTGTCGTGTTTCTTTTGAAAGAAATAATGGACAAATGGAGTCTTCAAACGGCTCAGATGTAAAGTTATTCGCTGTCAAAGTGACGCCAAAATGAATGGGAGTCAATGGAAATGCTAACTCAAGTGAAGTTCTGCTACAAGATGGCAGCTCCCGCGAGGCTTCAACTTCAGGTCGATGGATTACCCCCTTGTTTCCAATCCGTCGAAATCGCGGCATCAATCAGAAATGTTGGGGCGGGCTTAACACGATGACGACAGCGCTGGGTAGCCTACAAAATCTGCATACGCTCTGCATACGTCATCTCCTTCATCGCTCTGATTGGTTTTAGGTCTACCCGCGACCAGAGCCGTTCAAAAACATATTTAACAGCTCTGCCCGCGACGTCAATTGGTGACGCCCATCTGGAAAAGATTTGTCTATAACGCTTTGCCAGACCATAACTCGGTTACAACTGAGAATGGTCTGGTTTTAACCAGGCTACGCCTGAGCCATAAATGGCAAAATATTTAGGTCTTTTAATAATCTTAACCATTTTAATCGCATATCACTGGTCAAGACATTAGCAAGAATTTGGCTAATACTGTAGATTAAGTAACTTAACACGGAATATCCCTCCCCAAATTGCAGATGCCTTTTTACAGGAAGAAAGTGATTTTGCATTCAGTGTAATGGCTTCAAACAGTTCATGAGTAGCTGAAAAATGTCTCCCAGTTCAATTGAGTTCATTGGAATATTCACTTTAGGATTTAAATCGGATGGACTTGTTCTCAAGCCACTTCTTGGTTGTCTTTGCAGTTTGGGCAAAAGCGTTGTCTTGTTGATAAATAACATCCGATCATTCCTCTTTAGATAACATTATTCAGCAATATTCTCCTGTACTCCAAAGCATTAAAGGACTTTTTAAAGTGAAGCAGCGCAACAGTACCAATAGCTAAAAAGGCTTCTCGAACAATGATGCCTCTTCCTGTGGTAGAGATGCATTTATTATTTCTCTGCAGATTTTTTTTGGATCATCGACATGCAACTCGTGTTTCATTGTGATTCATCACTCCACACATAACTTCCTGCCAAAAACATCATTGCTTTTTAAGTAGTGCATTCGCTTACATTTTGCTTTTTCATTGCAATAATTTGTGGTAAAGACAATGAAATGCTTAGTTTTTGTTTATCCATTTTGGCCAATTAAAAAAAATAAATAAATAATGTAATAATGTAAACTGGTTTGTGAGTTTGTGAATTGAATCAGACTCGCTCGCTTAAATCATTGGAGCTGTTACTGAGTTCACAGCTGACTCCCTACTGAACTCCGGGGCATTTTTCATTCATGTCAGATTAAAAATGAGCAGAAATGGTCACTGTCTTATGTAAGACTTAAATTATTATATTTACTGACTTATTGTTCATATGACACAATATAGTGGGAATATATCTAAAACAAAAACAGTCTTTTTACTAAAAATACTTCTGGTCATTGCTTGGAGAGGTCCAATTTTTAGATGGAAACGACTGTAAGACAAACTTGGTTTGGGAATAAAACTAAGGTAGGTGACATGTTGAAACAATATTTCACTTTTTTATTCAAACAAGCAGGAATATTGGTAACACTCTACAATTAGGTTTCAATTGCATATAACTACATTAGTTAACATGAACGAACAATGCTACTTCTATAGCATTTTTATGTTTATCTTAATGTTAATCTCAACATTTAGCCAATAATACATCTGTTAAAATTAATTATTACACTCTGAGCAAGAACATGAACATTAAAGGGATAGTTCACTTTGAAATTAATGATTGGTATGTTTTAGCTCACCTCAAGATGTAGGCGTCTTTGTTTCCGCAGTAGGTTCAATTTTGATATTTTTAGGTCAAACCGTTCTTGTCTGTCAGTCATATATCGCAGGTCTATGGTCACCACCTCAAACTCAAAAGCATGCACATTAAAGTCCAAATTAAACATGATTTAATGACCCGTAAATGTAAGTACACATTGATGGCCTAAGACACGAAATGAGCGATTTGTGTGAGAAAATCATCAGTATTTACTGTATATCAATTTTACCTCTTGCAACCACAGCCACGTCCTAGTTATCTTAGGGCAAGGGCGCTTCGGTCTGCGCAAGCGCATATCTAATGTTATAACTAATGTTCATGAGACCTTATTGCAAAGTGTTACCAAAGTATTCTTGTGATGATATAAGGATATTTAAATGACACAAATACAATCAGAATCAAATTGGGGAAAAAATAGTCCATAAATGAATCGGCAATAGAAAGAACAACAAAACAATCTTTCCCTTTGCAAAGACCTGATTCAGTGAACCTAGGAATAAAATGTCCCTTGTCATGTTTCCTTGTATTCTCTCCAGCTTCTTCCTGAAGCAGCTGTTGTATATTGAAAGAATCATCCTGTGTTCTTTGTTCTGATCTCAAGCCCAAGGGCAAGTAATCAGTGTAGTAATGTTCAGATATCTAATGACTCAGGGAAGGAAGAGGACAGGGTCGGCTTGAGGAGACTGCGGGTGTTTATTGGAAAGAAAGAAACAAAACAAACAAAAAAACTTCACGCACACAGCGTTTAACTCAGTCCACTAGAATCAGCAATTGACCTATGGCTAAGCCACGCCCCCTCCACTCACTCGGACACAGATTCAACATTCGGGGACAGGTGCTATGGCAGCTGTCAGACATTTCACAGGAGGTAGTTGGTGATTTTTGGAGACCGAAAGATTATATATCATCTCGAAGTCACCTAAAGGGCCTTAACTATGCATCGGAGGGTTATATCATTTTATTGTTGAGAAGGTCGATGAATGTACAGGTCACCGCGTAAATGAGATAAACCGCTTATCGTTGCCATAACTGTTTGGTTCTACAGTATTTACATGAATCATTCAGCACAACATCATTAACATTTGTTATCTCGGTTATTTACAGATACGCTAATGAAGCTACATGATGTACAACACAGCTAGAAGCTAACGTTAACGCTTTCTAATGTTAGTCTAACGTTAGCCTAACGTTACGTTAGAGATTTAAAAGATAACGTTCAAATCCGTTGTTGACTTAACTTAGATCAGATAGACCAACGCCACTTTTGCGTTAATCGAAGGGTAACGCCCCCTTTTGGGGGAAAACACCTCTATACTGTCTATGGGAAAACAAACGGATTCCCATGAGAACAGAACTCGCACTAGATCTGCAAAGTTTCTTGATAGCAAAAATGGCACAAACTTAAAGAAGCTAACGTTACTGAATACGGGGTTACAGAGGTGTCCCTTTGAAATGGTCGAAAACTGGATTAATGACCCCACACAGCGGCCAAATATGGACTATTCAGACATCTAACGTTACCACTATCTCGTGGAATCGCCAAGTAAGCACGTAGCCTTTTTTTTCATTAACACTCACAGTATGACAAACTAGACGATGAATGGATCATATTTAACTTGATTTAAGCTATTGACATAGTCTAATAAGGTAACGTTAGCTGCTAACAGCTTAGTCTTTCTAATAGCTAGTCGACAACA